CTATTAGGACACTTTTTTAGTATTACTTAGTACATTTTATAGGACTCTAAAATTTGTTTCATAATTATATAACTTATTAAGACACATATTTTGGTATTATATAATTGCTTTAGTGACATTGAATTTCGTCTTATAAAAGCATTTTTGGGACGCCCATATTTGTTTTTAAATGTAAACATTTTGTGACAGCATAAACTGTCCTATATTATAGTCTATTAGGACACATTTTAGTGTTACTTAAACTATTTTATAGGACTATGAAATTTGTATCATAATCCTAGAGTTTTAGGACACTCAAATTCATCCAATTAATCTAATACAACACCTTTAGATGAGACACATTTTTTTGTTCTATAAACTTAAAAGTCTTATAAACTACCTTATTAGGACACTAATGAGGGTCCTATAAACCCTTTTTTGTTGTATTGTACTGCACATGGATCTCTTTGGTCCAGTCAACGTTTAATCATTAGCGGGAAAGAAATATACACTTGTCATTGTTGATGAGTATTCCAGGTACACTTGGGTCTTCTTTCTCAGATCAAAAAGTGATGCACCTGAAGAAATCATTTCGTTTAACAAACGAATAGAAGTACTGAACAACATCAAAGTATGATCTATCAGAAGTGATCACTGTTGATCATCTCTCTCATTAATTTGATGATAATCCCTTTTACCTTATACGAAGTATTTATGTTTCTGTTTTCGGTTCCAGCGATCATCACTAAGTCTATTCAGTTATCGCTGAGAACATGCATTGTAAATCCATCAGTGATAGTGATACTTCAAGAAGACAAAACTCACACGTGATCTGAAGCGGTATTCAGTGATTACAACCTTGTCTACATATGTGTGAAGACTGCCAAAGCCTCAGCGAATGCTGAAGAGACCTTTAGGTTATTCCAGCATTCAACGATCAAAAGAAGCTTGTTGAACAAGATTGTTTTTGTGTTGTCCTTATACACACAAAGGACAAACCTATACCCTTTCTAAAAGATAGTATGATACGGAGCCGACTAGTTGACTCTAATACCCACCAACTTTGTGAAAGGATGTCTGCTCATGAATAGGGTTTTGTACTATTCACTATAGCAAAGGACAAATCCTTTTCTAAAGGCTTGACAGACGTTCTAACCCTACCACGTTGCATTAAATGTGCATTTAATGCAATAGGTGTAAATAGATGTGTTCTATCTCCATGGAGAGATATACTCACTTCTTACTCTGAACTTACTTATGCTTAAGTAAAAGAACACACACATCTAAGAACACAATACGCTCATCTTTAAGAGCAAGTTAGAATCTTTTTATTATATTCTAAATAGTTATCTCCCAGATAGAACTTACTTTCCTCTAAGTCTTTAACATCAAATCTTTTCTTTATTTGCTAAGAACTAGTGTGTAACTTTAGATTGTTTAGATAGGTTTTATTTACCTTATCTTTTCGCAAACAATCTTGTAAAATTTGTATTGATCTTTCTTTATCAATATATATTTTAAATTTGAAAAGTTTTATGTGTTAGTATTCATCCACCCTTCTATAAACTGTTGTAAACATCTTGTAGACCCTAACGGTACCAACAAGTGGTATCAGAGCAATGTATTCTCGTGTAGTTGTTTAGTTGTTTTCAGCATTATATTATCTCTTTCTTTAGATAATCTTATTGCTTTCAAATGGCTTTACAAAACACAAACACACACTTTCAAGATAATAGCTCTCTTGCCAAACCTCCCCGATTTATCCGAGACAACTTTAGTCTCTGGAAAAATCAGATGTTCCTCTTTCTGGAAGGAGTGGATCCTAAAATTCCACACTATATAGAAAATGGGCCATATGTACCATTTGCTATTTCTCTGGCTGTTCCTGAAACAACTACGATTGTCGCGATTCCTAAATGATAGATTTCAGAGCTCCCTCATCAATGGGGCGATGAAGATAAGAAGAAGATAGCTATAGACACTCGTGCTAGGTCTATAATAGCTATGTCTCTTCCCGATGAGGTTTATCACTCTGTGATGAAACTCAGAACCTCCAAAGCCATGTGGGACACTTTATGTGTTCAATATGAAGGAACCTCTCAGATTCAAGAATCAAGGAAGATCAACTTAGTAAGACAATATGAAAGCTCTCTCTATGGAAAGACTGAGACATTGTCTAAAGTACATCAACGTTTTAATTGTCTTCTTATTCATTTAAGGACTGTAGGTGGGGAATATTCTAACTCTGAAACATTAACTAAGTTTCTAAAATGTCTTCCTGAAACTTGGGATACTTATTTTATGTGTCACACGATGTCCAAAGATAAGTCCTCTTTCTACTGTTTTCAGGATCTTGCTTAATCATGAGCAATCAGCTGAAAAGAAATATGATCAAAGATTTCAGGGAAATGAAGAGCTCTCCTTTAGCTCTAATCTCTGAAGAAGCTTCAGCTGATAACCCTTTCTCTTCTTTTTCTTCTTCTCTTCCTCCTGTTGTTATTACTAAGTTAGATTCTACTAACTCTGAAGCGACATTTAGTGATTACAAACTAGTCAGCATATGTGTGAAACTGGCACAAGCCTCAGCAAATGCTGAAGAGACCTCCAGTGTCATCCCAACATTCAACGATAAGTTGAAGCTTACCATTACGTTTGTTTTTGTCTTGTCCTTCCACACAATAAGGACAAACCAATACCCTTTTCTAGAGCACAGTACAGTATGGAGCCAATTAGTTGACTCTAGTGCTCACCAACTCTATGAAAATATGTCTGCTCATGAATAGATAAAAGGACTATTCCCTGTAGCAAAGGAAAAGATTTCCTTCAAAAGCTTGACACGTGTTGTGTACCTTCTGGATTGAATTTAATGCAATGGGCATAAATAGCTGAGTGCTCTCTACTCAGAAAATGTGAAGCAATTAGAATTTGTCTTTCATATTTTAAGAAGCATACTCAAGAACAAACCTCTTTCTCTACTCTCTCTTTCTAAAAAGAAAGAACCACTTCAAGAAAGTGAAGAACACATTTCTAAGTCTTACTTTCTTTCAGCAAATCTTTTCTATTATGTGTACCTCTAGATTGTTTAGATAAGTTTTTTCTTTACCTTATCTTTTTTGCAAACAATCTGTGAAACTTGTATTGATCATTCTTTATTAATATGTAAATTTAAAATTGAAAGTTTTTGTGTTTATATTCACCCCCACATCTACAAACTGATCACCTATAAATTATTGTAGATTCGGCTAGGACAAAACATTGCTTCTTACCTTAAACTTTGTATGAAATAACATTTTATTAGTTTTTTATATATATTTTCGCATTTCAAATAATAATTATTGATGTTAAAAAATAAATGAGGGTTCCTATAAAAACTAGCATGATGAAGTTTTATGTAAATTTAATCTAGTAACCCACAAAAGAGGGTTCCCATACAAATAAGAACGTCCATCATAGATAGTTCTTAACATTTATCATCTATTTTTCATATTCCTTGGTCAATCTTCAACCACATGGCATTCTATGAAACAAGCAGTCACTTCAATCTCATCCCCGTAAAACTAAAAACATCAGCGCTATGAAACTTTTCATCCTTCCACTCATGATCTTTCTAGTCATGATATGATATGATATGATATAGTTACCAAATTCATGTTACAAATGATGTGACATTTGTTTTTCTTGAATATTTTTTAAAATTTGAACCTTTAAAATAAATGGACAATCATTTCCACATCAAACCAAAATAACACCATAATTCTAAAAATTTATATACTCAAATCTTATTATACCATTCAAGCCTTAACCATCTTCCATTTCCATTTTATACATAAACTATAGTTTTCACTATTAATATTTGTCAACATTAAATAATGTGTGTGTATATATATGTATTATTTTCGCAACAGAAGGATCGGTCACAAGTTATATTATATTCAATTAATTTTTCAAAGAAATACATCTTCTTTTAATATATCTTCATTTATTGTCTTCTCATAATGTAAAAATCACACAAAAATTTAAATAATGTTTGAATACTTTAATATCACTTCAAATTTGATTTAGTTAAATTTTATTTTTCTTTCAAAAGGAAGATAGCGTCAAAAAGTATATTAAGCCACATAACCTTTTTAATTTTCAAAGGAATATCTTTTTCTTTCATATACTCACATCTATTCTCTAATCTATCATCTTCCCATCAATGTGTGATGACAAAAATCACAACACAATTTAGGATTTTTAAATATTAAACTTTTATTATGCCACTTTTGTATGACCTTTTCATTTCTAAAGTTATATTCCATCCCTTCATATATCCACATTCGCTCTTCAAACTAAACATTTCTCATCAACGAGGGACAACCAAAATCACGCTACATTTCAAAATTTTAAAAATACTTAACTCTAATAATCTTACATATGTCTTTTATATACGTAAAGATTTCATAAAAATTGGTTAGTTTTGTAAAGGGAAGTAGTTATTAACCTTCTCCTTCATTCATATACCTACATCTATTATTCAAACTAAAGATGTCTCTTTAATAAAGGATAAGAAATACACCACATCAAGATTTTAAAATACGTGACTCTTATAATCCCACATCATGTTTCTTTTACATATATTAACGTTCATGTAAATAAGTTTATTTTGCAAAGTGATTGTAGTCATTTTGGCAACAAACCTTTTAATTTTCAAAGAACATTTCACCCCTCTATGCCCACACTCATTCTTCAACTTAAAATCTCCTATCAATGTAGATAATCAAAATCACACCATATTTTAAGATTTTAAAATACTTAAATCTCATAAAGATGTATTTTTTTGTATGGTTAACTTTTTAAAATGGATCAGCCAAAATGAGCCAACATATGAGTTCGGAGGGTTGGCCAACATGAGCCAACAATGTGAGTTTAGACAATCGGCCAAGAGAGGCCAACCACCTGAGTTGCCACAAAGGCGTCCCAACCTCCCTTCATATACTGGTCATTCATTGTCAACCTTCAATCTCTCCATCAATACAGGAGACACAAAACTCAACCACAATTCAAGAAATAAAGAATGTTCTTTCTTTACACAAATAGATATATCATTTTTCTCAATTACTAACTCGAGATAATAGATGTAAACATGGAGGAACTGATAGCAAATACTTCCTTAGTTATCTTAGCAACTGCTTCTTCATCTTTGAGAATGTTTGTATGAGAAATCCCATCAAGTTTAACCACCTTCAACCTCTGAAACTCTTCGTCCTTCCACTCGTCTTCCAAGGCCAACAAACTCGCCATATTCACAGTCCCATCCCCATCTCCGTAAATAATTTCCGGCTGCTTATCAAAGCCTTCGTCTCTATAGTACAAACTTTCGGGCGTTTGCACACCACTTCCTATAATACAAGTTATTGGAACTCCCGGTGCCACCAACTTCTCGACTAACGGTAAGATTCGCGTCTCATAAGGCTGCACCCCTTCTGGAAACCCAATATCTTCAAGAAATCTTGATATTTCATATGAAGAGTAAGTCGAATTTCGTGTCACAACTAGTGGTTTCTCTGGAGGAAACTGTTTTTTTCGTGGCATGAGCCATAAATTGCTCTCGGAACTCCGTTGCTCATTTCTGACGAGCAACGGGTTCACTAGAGGCACCCCTAGTGCATTCCCAGATGCAAAAGTGAGCATCTCGTCAACTGTTCCCCCCCATGGTGCGGATAATGCTATAAAATGTTTGATGTACCGTTGGCGCCACATGGGTGGGTTACGATTGAGTAATTGCAGGACAAACAGGCCTCCGAGGCTGTGAGAGATGATAATTATGGGGTTTCCGTTGTTTGAATCACTTGCTTTTTCGATCAAATTCTTTAAGTTTTGAAGGTAAGTGGAACCTACGTTAGAAGGATGTCCATCCGCCGCTAGGCCATAACGAAAATCATAAGGAGCTCCGAATAACGTTTGGCCATCAGTGTAGCCAAGGTTTTGTAAAGACTTAACCAATGGTGCCATGTAAGTCGTTATGTATCTGCAAAAATATGTATTAGTGGCAACATTGAATTTTCATGAACACAAATTCAACCAAATAAAAACATTTCCATTGACAATCATATCACATTTCATACTATAACAAAATTGATGTTTTGTATGCCAACCATGAGTTCTAGAGTGAAATAAACGCCACAACAATTATGAACACTAAAAATTGGATTATAGGATGTTTAAAAAAATCAAAGTAGTTAGAATACTTCATACGATCAAATAATAAAGTTTTCTATCTAAATGTATTGCAATAGGTTTATGAGACTCTCTTAGGCATGTTAACAATTTACAAAAACATTTTTTGAAATAAATTATTGTATCAACTATTATGTTGAACACAATTTAAAAAAGTTTCATACGAACATAACTGTTCTATAAAAACTTATTTATAAGACATTTCTCAAAAGGGTTTTTTTTATAATAACGAATATGACATTTTATCTTAAGATAACTTTAAAAGTCTTGTTAAGACACTCAGAAAAGCGTCATATAAAGCTACTGTAACAATTTAATTTTAGATATGATGCTTTAGTGTTTGGTCTTCTAAGTTATTATATGCCCAAGACAAGTCCACACAGTAATGCTGCCAAAAAATGTATGTAAACCTATAGGGTCACGCACAAAGAAGACGTATGCTTCAGCATGGTTATTAGATACAAGAAACCTGAATTATGTCAGGTTGATTATTAAATAGTTATTCAATTTGAATAACTAAATTATGTGTTAAAACTATAATTATGATAATTACATGGTTTTATGTGTAAACATATTTACGTATATTCTACTATGATTAATAAAATTAAATAAAACCTTTATTTAGGCTTAATTGGCTTAAGGATAATAACAAATCTCCACCCATGTTTAGAAATTAAGGTTTATCTATAACTTAAATAACCACCTATAAACAAGATGATGGGCCTAGCCAAAAATGCTAATCAATCTTTTATATGATTTAAAGATTGTCATAGAAAAACAGAAAAGAAATATCTTTCTTTCTTTTTCTGTTAAACACATAATATATTTAGGCTTTTGGGCTAGCACCCTGATGAGAGCAAAGTGTGTTCATGTGTGGATCTACGATAAAGGAAACCTACTCTGGTTTTTAAGTGCTCCGTCAAAACCTAGATCAAATCTAAAAGGTAATACTTTAAACACACTTGGTTTTTTTTAGATTCATTTAAAATTCATTGGACCAAATAGGTTTTCTTTAGATAAGTTTTCTAGAAAAGTAAACTAAAGTATTTTTCCTCTGCATTTTACGAAAGGTTACCGATTTATTAGGTAACCTGATAGTGGTATCATCCTCACTTTGACATTTAAACAATTGAATGAAACAATAATGAAACGAAACGAAACGTATGCGCAAGGGTTTTACCCTATGCGTCTGTGATGGGCATTGATCTACGAATGCAACCGTTGGTGGAGCCGACTGTGTTGGTGCCGGTGGTGTTGGTCTTGGTGCCACAACTTGGTAGTTGGCATCAATCATCCTCCTTCTACAGCACCATGGATGCCTTGTGATCCTGTGCCACCTCACTGTTGTTTAGGCCATGTCATTCGTGCCGCTTGGTCGTCGTGTATAACATTCCATTTTTGAGGGATTAATTAAAAATATGTATATTTTTAATGTTTTCGAATTAGACTTGTTTTAAAGATACACCTAAGGGTTATTATGTCAAATTCCATTATATATATATATATATATATATTTAAAATGTTAAAATAGTTAAATGTTAGGATAAGATTTGATTTAGCAAAACTCTAGGATTTGTGCTGTCAAATTCATATAGTAACAATATAAATAAGTTTTTAAAATAATGAAAGCGTAGAAGAGAGAATCAGGAGAAAGATGAAGAAAGCAATGATGGATGATAAGGCTGTTAGCAGATCACATTGTATATTAGGCTTAGTTTATTAGCTCGTATAGTGTTTGGTCCATGGCCCATATGTTGTATATTTAAATGATTGTATTGTGTTTAATCAATCAAGGAAAATATTCTCTCTAATATGGTATCAGAGCAAAATTAGGAGCCCTTCCTAATTCCTATCAACCTCCTCCCTTCTTCCTCTCTTTCGGCGATCTAGGGCCGGCCACGCCTCCCATCGCCGCCGCCTCCTCCTCCTCAATCGTTCTTGCCTCCCTTCAATCATGTCCGTCAATCAAACTCTCCCAAACAAGGTTTTCGGTATAATGAATATCAAAACCTACGTTCCTCTCATTCTTGAACTCGAACGTCTCAATTATGATGCATGGAGAGAACTTTTCTCCACCCATTGTATTGCCTTTGACGTCATCGATCACATCGACGACTCTACTCCTAAACCCACGGACACAGAATGGAAAAAGGTGGATTCAATCGTAAAACTTTGGATTTACGGATCGATCTCACAATCCCTTCTCCAAATGGTGTTGAAGAAAGACTCGACCGCGCTTCAAGTATGGAACAATCTCAAGACTCTCTTTCGTGACAACAAAGACGCCAAATCCATGCAAATCGATAGCGAGCTACGCAACATTGTGATGGGCGATCTCTCCGTCACCGCCTATTGCACCAAAATCAAGGGACTTGCTGATCTTCTTGCGAATCTCGATCCGGACTCCACAATACCCGACAAACACCTTGTGATCTACACAATCAACGGACTCTCCTCGAAGTTCGATTCGGTGGCCAATATCATAAGGTACCATTCTCCTCTTCCAACTTTTTTTGAAGCTCGTTCCATGCTTCTTTTGGAAGAACAAAGAATGGCTCAAATACGCCCAACACCCGTTATGCCTCACACTGACCATTCCTCATCGTCCACCGTCCTCCACGTGAACAATACCGGAGGAAATCGTGGGAATGGCCGCCGGAACGACCGCCGCCAGCAGCAAGGTCGCCGCCGACAGCCGCCGAATCAGCCACGCTATGGTTGGGTGTACATCCCGCCACCGCCGCCGAGTCAGTCAAACCAGCCCCGCCAACAACAGCCACCGCACGCCTACTGGCAGCAGCCAACTGCTGGGTTGCTCGGTCCACCGCCCGCTGCCCCGTCGCCACAACCGGCCCGCTCAACCGTGGCAAGCGGCACCGCCATACAACCCGGCGGTCCACTTTTCTGCCGCTACGGACAGCAGCCAATCGACTGCCGCCGCCACTCCCCCGTGGACTTCGGCCCCACCGGATCAAGCTACGTCTCTCCCGGAGTTGTTCAACTCGATGTCTCTAAACGACCCGGGCTTCACAGATTGGTACATGGACACCGGGGAAATCGACCACGTCCACACAAACTCAGGTATTCTAAAATCTGTTCTTGAAACTCATGATACTCGTTCTATCCTTGTCGGTAATGGATCCAAAATGCCTGTAAAGCACACCAGACATGCCCCTTTTCCCATCACAAACCCGTACCGTCCTTTGCATCTTAGACATATCCTCATATCTCCCACTATTAAAAAAAATCTTATATCTGTCCGTCAATTTACTCGTCAAAATAAAACTTCTATTGAGTTTGACAGTTTTGGTTTTACTGTTAAGGACTACAAGACCTGGCGCTCTCTAATCCGATGTGATAGCGACGGTCCCCTCTACCCGGTCAACCCCTCCAACCCTCAAGTGCTTCTCTTGACAGCTCACTCCACATTGCATCAACGGCTCGGTCACCCCAACGATCAAGTCTTGAAGTCATTAGTTTCAAATAATTTTATTTTTTGTCATAATGATAAAACTAGTGTTCTTTGCAATTCTTGTCAACTTGGAAAACATGTTCAACTTCCATTTTTTGTTTCTAATTCCGTTGTTTCTCATGCTTTTGAAATAATTCACTCCGATATCTGGACGTCACCCATCTCTAGCATTAGTGGATTGCGTTACTATGTTATTTTCTTAGATCACTTTACTCATTACTTGTGGGTTTATCCTCTCAAACATAAGTCTGACGTTTTCAATAAATTTCATGAATTTTTCCATCTTGTTAAAACCCAATTTAACGCAACCATTAAATTTTTTCAATGCGACAACGRTGRTGAATATAATAATCAATTATTTCAYAACTTTTTTGCCTCCCAAGGTATCCAATTCCGTTTCTCATGTCCTCACACGTCCCAACAAAACGGAAAGTCGGAACGTATGCTTCGAACCATCAACAATGTGGTTCGCACCCTCCTTTTCCACGCTCATCTCCCTCCCACCTATTGGGTCGAAGCTCTCCATATGGCTACCCATCTCCTAAACATCCTTCCCTCCACAACCATCAACTTTGAAACCCCTCACTACCGATTGTTTCAAAAACATCCTTCCTACTCTCATCTCCGCATATTTGGCTGTCTTTGCTACCCTCACCTCACCACCTCTCACAAATTAGCCACTAGGAGCTCTCCTTGTGTCTTCCTTGGCTACCCATCTCATCATAGGGGATTTCGGTGCCTTGACCTCTCCACCAAACGCATCATCATTTCTCGTCACGTCGTCTTTAATGAGACAATTCTTCCGTTTGGCTCGGTCACTCCGACAAACCCCCCTTCTTACTCTTTTCTCGACGACCCATCTGAGTCGTCTCCCATTATGCGTGACATTCTTGATCCGCTTCCCGCCCCACCAACCCCTCCTACGGCTGAACCTACCCCCACCAGTTCGGCCACCCATCACGCCCCGCCTATCCCACCTACACCCGCCCCTCACTCCCCACCTCACGCCTCGACCCACATCGATGGCGCCATTCACCACCTCCCTCTCCTCCGTCGAGTGCGATTCCATCCACTACTCGCTCGTCTCATCCCATGACGACCCGAGCTAAAAGTGGTATCGTTAAACCCACTCAGCGACTCAATCTTCATACCACCTCCATCACCCCGTTACCCCGGTCCCATTTACAGGCATTACAGGATCCTCACTGGCGAAAGGCCATGGACGAGGAATATCATGCTCTTCTCGGGAACATGACTTGGAAACTTGTCCCTCGACCCCCCGGGGTCAACGTGGTTCGGTCCATGTGGCTCTTTCACCACAAGTTTAATGTAGATGGCTCGCTTTCTCGCTACAAGGCCCGTTTGGTGGCCAATGGTCGCAGTCAACAGCAGGGGATAGACTGTGATGAAACTTTTAGTCCGGTTGTAAAACCAGCCACCATTCATACTGTCCTCAGTATTGCGGTCTCTCAGCTTTGGCCGATCCATCAGCTAGACGTGAAGAATGCGTTTCTTCACGGTCACCTTCAGGAGACTGTATACATGCATCAGCCATCGGTCTTCCGAGATCCACGTTTTCTGGATCACGTGTGCCATCTTCAGCGCTCTCTGTACGGCCTTAAATAGGCCCCACGTGCGTGGTACCATCGGTTTGCTCAGTATGCCCTTCGGCTCGGGTTTCAGCACAGTCGCACTGATACGTCACTGTTTATATACCACTATCCTCAGGCCACTGCGTATCTTCTTCTATATGTTGACGATATCATTTTGACGGCCTCATCCACAGAGTTCCTTCACCAGATCATCACCCTACTTGATCGTGAGTTCGCTATGACAGATCTCGAGGCACTTAATTTTTTTTGGGAATTTCTGCTTCGCGATCATCTACAGGTCTATTTCTGTCTCAGCAGCAGTACGCCTCTCAAAAAGTCAAAGTGTCATAATAGACTCCTATATAAGATTTGAGATTATATAGGACCTAACAACTGTATATCATAAATAAAAGTGTTGCAATAAATTTAACGATCATTTTGGACATCTAAACATATGTTTTAGAACAGTTTTAAACCAAGGTGTCATATTAACTTTCTTATACAATACTTTTGAGAATTGTTGTATGAAAACATTTTTTTTATTGAACCCTTGTTTTAATAAGAAACTTTTTCAAGATAATGTCAGAAGATTAAATGATGTTTTATTTCAAATTTATTCTAAAAGCTTTATAAGTACCAAAAAACGTTTTATACACTTATAATATCATTTTTAGATTAGTCACACATGTGTTTGGCCTTATAAAATGAACTCACAAACAAGTTTATTAAGACATTTAGACATTTTAATTTAATGTAGTGAAAACTCCATTTTATTGAAGTGAAAATACTAGAACCAGGAACGGTGTTCTATCTTATTACACTAGAATAAGTTGTTAGGATGATGTTGGTCGACTTAGAATTATATGACACTTTCAAAAAGTGTCCTATTAATATTTTATATATATATATATATATATATGTGAAATTCACCAAAAATGTATAAAAGCTTTCGGGATAAAAATTTTAATCACCTAAATTCGACATAACAATTATTGCAACAGCATTAGGGAGTACATCACTTCACTTTTTAGTATAAGCATAAAATCTCACTAAGCCCTTTAATAGGACGTGTATACGTCCTAAAAACCTGTTTTATTGTAATTTGGTCTCATCCAATCAATTAACTAACAAAAATCATTATAAACCATGTAATGTCCGTTACAACAAGATTTAATTTATGGAACGGTAAAAATGTCTAAATGTTTTCATAGATTGTGTTATATATTACAATAAAATTGGATTTATAGGACATCAATATCTAACTGTCCTATAGACTGTTTTATAAAACTTAAGTTTATAGGAACAAACGATATAGCGACATATTTAAAAGTGTTGCAATAAATTTATAGGACGCTTTTAAGAATCTTAACAAACTTTTTGGACATTTTATAATAAAACGTCGTATCTATTTTATAGCACATTATTTGTAAAATTGTTCTATAAAATTAAATATTCTATAAAAAGATGTATTCATAGGACACTTATCAAAAGTGTCCTATAAAATGTATAATATGACGCTTTATTTTAAGTTTGTTTAAAGAACTTGTTAAGACACCTAAAAATATCCTATAACCTTATTATAACATTTTAGATATATGACACTTTATTGTTTGTTCATGTAAACTGCAGTCCTAAAAAATAATCTATTAGGACACTTAGATATTGTTGGAGTTCTGTAAAATCGATTGTATTTTAGTGATTGGATTCAACTTTATAAAACCAAACAATTATGTTTCCTACAATTGTTGCAATAAGTTTATTGGACGTTTTAACAAGTTTTAGGACACTTTAAATAATGTCTCATATTAGTTTTATTACAAAACATTTTTGAGAATTGTCCTATAACACATGCCTACATAGGAAACTTGTTTTTACAAGACATTTTTTATTTAAATAATGTAATATAAAACATTACTATAACATTTTATATGTAACAAAAGTATCAATAAAACTTGTTACGATGTCCTAAAAAGCCATATGAACTTATTACAATGTTTTTTCATAAGACAACATAATTGTTTGGTCTTATAAATCTGAATATAGTCTATTAAGACCTTAAATATTGTTTACATCCTATAAAACCGATTTTGTTATAATGTATAACATTAACATGATTACCCAACATGGTTATAACAGTGATCAAATTAGAATTCAAACCAAAAAAGGGGTCGTTTAGTAAATGTTTTTCCATTAGAAGAACAAATAATCTTACCTAATAAGAAGCATATCAGTTATCAAGAATCTTACTCAATAAATGAAGGAGAAAACTGTTACCCAATTAGCAAACGAGGTAAGTGACCCTCACCAATAATCCATTTTTAATTGCATGTATATATTAGCTTATAAAGTAAGTGAGTGTGATAGGTATTCTTGCTGGTAAGCATTTGGTCAAATACCTTTAAAATTATGTTTTTTCTCAATTCATACTTACTTGAGATAAGGATCGAGGTAGAGAAGGGATTGTGTGGAACCAAACTCGGAAACCCTCGTCTCAACTCCAGGGGCATTTTTGTAATCATCCAATTCCGGGTTGTAGTAAAGAGTCATGCGGTCAGCAAAACACTCGGTGAATGGTGCTAATAGCACGCCAATGTCAAACCACAGCCGGAACCACCCTCCCTCCTCCTTCTTAATGGGGTAGAATCGGTTGCACAGCCAACTTGTAGCCTTATACTCTGCCGTTAATCGGGCTTCCAGCTGGTTGCCACCGGCTCCAGGAACCAGAACCACCGGAGCGAGCGGGTGGTGGTCGTTAATTATGGCCCGGCAGGTGAAGGGCACTACAGCTACCATCGTAGTTATAACCATCATGGCCGTGACCACATCTACCATCGGACTCCCTCCCATGGTACTCACACTTCAAAGGGTGCTTTTTAGATAGAAAATATGTGGTTGTGGGAGAACGTGATGGGTACAAATACAAATCATAGATATTAGAACATTGGGACGGAGGTTTTACTTGAGGTTCTTTTTTTGTTTTATGATATGGATTCTTGTTTAATTACATATTTTTATAAGCGGGTGGTTTAAATATAACTTTATCTATATCTATACTATCTTATAAAACATTTGACTAAAACTCTTAAAAACTCTTAAACCCGTTCATCCCTAAACGATTTCATCCCTATCCGATTTCATCTCATATTTGAATTTGTGTAACTAACTGCAGATAAACACAATCAAATACAGAATAAACATCTCATTTTAAATATAAAAAATCTAAAATATAATTAATATAATCATTAAATTCTAACAGAATACTTAATTATTATCTTTATAAAATTTATAATATTAAACCAAAAATAAATTATTTTATTATTAAACTTAAATTAAATTATATATAAAAATATATATTCTATATTATAAATTATTTGACAAAAACTCTTAAAAACCACTTTTTATGCGTAAAGTACTGTTTATTAATGCATATTACTTAAAACTCAAGACTACATGTAAATTGTGTGTATGTACAACTTATTAAAGCCCCATATCTGAATTCTTGTAACTAACTGTAGATAAACACAATCAAATACATGATAAACATCTTATTTTAAATATAAAAAATCTAAAATATAATTAAGATAATCATTGAGTTCTAACAGAATACTTAATTATTATCTGTATAAAATGTTATATTATTAAACCAAAAATAAATTATTTCATTATTAAATTTAAATTAAATTATAAAAAAAAATCTATTCTATATTATAAA